TTTAATTATTAACATCACATGATAATATCATGTTTTAATACCTACTGAAAGTAATTTGGCACTTTACAGTTTCCTTCTAAAATCACTGCTATTCTTGAAAGGGACTGGCTGGATTTTGATTATAAATTTGCTTTCTTTTTTCCTTCCAAATAAGGACACTGCAGATAGTTTGTGCAAATTAATTCTATAAGCATGTAGCACTGTGCTAGGTTCTTGAAAATTCACGTATAAATATGACATGATCTCCGTTTTCAAGACGCTCACAATGACCTCAGTGATTGACAAGAAGACCTATAGCCAGAAGACAATATAATAAATGCAATACCAGTTACAAGAACAAGAACAGAGAAATGAGGGACTCAATTTTCCCAGAGAGAGAAGAAGAGGGTCATAGATGACTTCAAAAGGAAGTGATATTTAAGATACATCTTAAAATAAATGTGTGATTGATCAATATATTCTTTCAGCAGTCCAGCTACCATGCCATCACTCCCACATGGTAGATGTTGTGTCAGTCACTGGCACACAGTCTGTGATCTAGGCCCTCAAGAAGCTTTGAGTCTATATACATTTTTCTATGCCAAGAAGGAATAAAATTTGCTCACCTGCCTACCTCGTTCCTCTCTGATTTCTTCCATCTCATTTTACGAAACTAGACTCATACACGAAATAGAACTTTAAGTTCAAAGTTACTTTTTACAAATTCATTTCATTTCTGATGTGATGGGAAAAGCAATGGCTCAGTAAGTCAAATGACTACTAATTTTTAATGCTACCACTTAGCTGTTTTCTTACAGCATTCATTTATCATTCATTTACTTATTCAAGCAGCATTTACAGAGCCCTTACTGTGTATCAGTGGGTGTCCAAGGAATTGGGAAGTGAGCTTGCTGTCTACTAGAGGAAAAAGACATTCGAACATTCACATGCTGGGTGATACTTGTTGCAACTAAGGATGAAGAAGAGAAGGAGAAATTAATTCTGATGTAAAGATCAAAGAATAACTCAAAGAGAAGGGGTGCTTGAGAATTTCTCTTCAGTGAATGGGAAAGACATTCCAGGTGTAGGGAACAGAAAGTAAAAATGCATGCAGACCCCAATCAGTCAGTAGTTTTGGCCTGTGCTAGTCCCTTTCAAGGGCTCTTGCTTAGGAATCCTGTTCCCATCCCAAGCATAAAACAGTAAAGACATTTCCTTCCATGTTTTTTGGTTGCAAAACTTTCTGTTCTAATATTGGAGCATCCAATTTCTCTTATATTTCCCAAGCAAATAATCTCAAAATAACTGTGATTTGCCACATCTAAAAATTCTAAATACTAATAATTTATTTTCTGCTATCACTAAAATATATACTTTGCTCCAATTATAAAGAAAAATTGTGAGTAAAGTTATAATTGCAGTTATATTCTCAATTAAATACTCTTCACAATCCCTTAACTAAAATCCTTGGGGCCAAATATATCTCAGAATTTAGAACTGGTTTTCTGGGGGCTTCAGCAAAGTAAAATGTGTGATACCCCAAGCATTATGTGGGGTAGCAACTTGGAATCAAACACATTGGTCTCCCTGTAGTAAACATTTAAATGTTCACTCTAAGAGGAATAAATAAAAATTATAAATAGCCTCACATCAGTTTAGGTCATGTTTGCTGCCAAATGAGTTGTGTGAAACATTTGGTTTCAGCACTTTTTGGATTTCAGAATTGCTAATGAGGGACTGTGGACTTACATTGTGGTTATCTTCATTTCATAGTTTTAGAAAGAGTTTGAAAGAGCTTAATTAACTTGTCCAAGTTGCCTACCTAGCTAAGTAACAAAACATCATGTAAACCTATCAGTCTCACTCTGGACTCTGCTAGTAACCTCTGCCCTGTGGGTGGCAAACATTCACTTCACTTTTACTGAGTTGCCTAGGTTTTCACCAGGGAGAAGAAGGCATTAAGATAAGTGAGAATAAATAACCGGATACTCTGCTGCCGAGACCCTTCCTTTCTGATGTCCCTGTGAATAGTCTCTGCCTCCTTATCCTCACAGATTTCCTCATTGTTGATCGTCTGCGCGGACTGGGAATGTTATGTCTTTGTTGGCAAAGTATCTCTATCCTCACAATTCTTCTTGCTTCCTTACATGTCTTTGGCCTACCTGCTGCACTAATTCCCTGCCCCCGTCTCCTCATCAAGGTACTTTCCACCACCAGCCACTCAGAGCTCAGTGTACCGCTTCTCTGGATTTCGTCATCTATTTCACTTCTCTTCCAGCTCAAAATCATTTATTGCTGGCTTTTTCCATCAACAGCAGCTTGCATTGCACTCACTACTAACCTCTCCATCTCTAAGGATATTCTGTTGCTATTCTCTACTTTATTAGTTTTGGCAATGTGGATCCTTAGGTCCCTCCATCAGAATCACAACATCACAATGCAGGTTCCTTCCTGGACCCACTTCTGACTGACTGAATCAGCATCTCTGGGAGCAGGGCCAGAGAATGTATATTTTTCCTAAGTATGCCCCATGGTTTTTAAGCCCCAGCAGCTTGAGATCAACTGCTCTGTGGTGCAGCAGAGCCAGTGGCTGCTCTTTGTATGGGGTTTGTTCTCACGTTTGCAGGTACAGATTTATACAAGTGGCACCATAAGACCAGAGCAAACTATAAATGCCTGACTTTTTGCCTTTCCAAAGCCACCAGAAGAAACATTGCTTGGGAAGTTTAATAAATTAATAAGTGAGGTATGCAAAGGGAGAGTATATTAAATATACTAATTACTTAAAAGATAACATGGCTAATTTGGCCAAATCCTTGTAGCTAACGTCTCATTTTCTCTCCATCTTCAAACACTGTATTGTAATTGGTTTCTTCTAAATTTCTACTCTAATTTATTCTAGCCTGACCTCCGAGTGAAAGATTAAGTAGAGTAACAATTGTACTTTCCAAACAAATCTTTCCTGTAAGAAGTCAGCTCTTTCTAACAGGCCCTTCTCAAAAGGGTCTACATCATCTCTGGTTGTCCCTGTAACATGAAAACACTATAAGGAGCAGCATGCTATTCTTCAGCTAGTAAGAGAGCAATATGAGTTGTTTTCAAAGACACACACACACACACACACACACACACACACACACACACACCAGAAACACAAAAAGGAACAATTAGGAAGCCACCTGTACCTTGGATCTAGCGCACTTTGATGCACTGTTAGGGACGTTACAGGACCATCACCTATTGTTTTAGTCATGTCAGCCCACATAGGGGAATCCAGGAGCAAAGATCTATTGCCAGACCAACTGCTAGTTCTTCAACTTAGAGGTGAGAAATGAATCACTAATATAATCACACAAGCAAAATCTATGTGAAAAAAATCTTATTTTAAATGATAATGCTGAAAATTATACTAACGATTTTGATGAAGGCTGGGCTTACCAAAATAAAGTCGGAATCTAGTTTCAAACTGTCAGAAAATCAATTTCCACTTATGTCATTGACACAAGTGTCTCCATCATTATTCATCTTTTATTTGAATATGTAAGTTTTGAAATGAGTGTGGAAGTCCCTTAAAGACAAAACGGCCCGGTGCGATATAATTGCTAACATTTCAACTCACATAGCGACCATTCAAATTTGAGACAATGCTTTTATAAATGGTCATAAACTATCAAAATTATCATGTCAGAGCCAATTTGTTTGAGATATTTACATTGAATGAGTGTAAAGTTATTTGTGAAAAAAAAAAGGTTTTTCGCTATGAACAACCTTCAGACGTTGATGGTCATTGATAAAGCAAGAACATTCACTGTCTAAATACTGCAGACTCAGTTTATGATAATATGATTAGCTACATTAATAATGATGCTTAGGCACAGTCTTGCTAATTACAATATTATAAATATTAATGTCACCCACCCTTTTTTCTGTTTGATTGCCACTCATGAAGTCATTCATCACGATATTTTCCAGGAATCTACACTGTAAGATTTTATTTCTTTCTCCCTTTTTTTTTTTCATCACTGGACTTGTAATCATGCACATTATTTTTCAAGAAGTCCTTATTTTTAGCTACCTTGGAGGACAGTGATATTTTCTATTAAAACTAGCCAAATGTAAGTCAGTTATATGTTTCTCTTATTCTTTCAGAGCCCCTAACCCTGCCACCCAAGGCAGAGTACCCAGGGTTTTTGTTTTCCATTCTTTTTCATGTGACCTGTTTCAAGTTAAGATTCATTTGAATTATTAAATGCTTCCTTAAAGAATCTTTTTATACTTGCCTTTCTTTTTTTTTAAAGTTAATTATTGATGTAGTGACAAGCTGAAAAGACTAAGAATTATAATTTTTTCCTCCCCTCATTCAGACATTCAAGAAATGTCTTCTGACAATGATTGTCTATTTAGAATAATACAAAGGAAATACAAAGGCAAAATGCTGAATGTTGTTTTAGAAAAAATTTGCTAAAATCACTGTATTATACAAAATGTAAATGTAGTATATATTTCTCTGAAAATAACAGTTAGTGAGAAAGTTGGGACATAACCTTTTGAGCCCAGGTTTAACCACATAGCAGAAGCAGTTACAAAAGATACTGATTAGATTTTAATTTTAAAAACTTCATCATATTATTCAGGGCTCCAGTGATTTGATTGTCTTGAAAATAGAAAGGTAATGTTATAATTTCCAGAGCTTGTTAAAGAATAAAGAAATCTCCAGTTTCCCACTGCAAAGAATGCCAGTCATCACCACAGTAAGCAAGAATTTGGAGGCACTTTACACTACAAACTTCAATCTTTTCCCTTTACATGACCTTGTGTTATGTTGGTTTTATAAAAATGTAACTCACGGACCTGTCATATAGCTGTAATCAAGCCTCCTTCAGAATGATTCTACTACAGAAATTACATCCAAAAGGCACTGTGTTTCCTGTTCCTGAGACAGTGGGAAAGAAAACAAGACCTGAAATAGAAAGTGACTGAGGTAGAGTTCTTAAGGACAACAGGAAAAGTTGAGCACATACCTTTCCCATGAGTTCAGCAATACGCGGAACCGGTTTCCCTTTCTGATGACTCATGGTAGCCGGACTCTGCCCGTCCCAGTCTTGCACTTCTTCAATGCTTTTCAGATAAAGCAGGGCTTTGAGGCCAGTGCAGTAGTCTTGGATAACAGTGAAGTCCTGATTCTGAATGGCACTGCATACCTGGAAAAGATGAAGCAATCAACCCAATGTCAAACCAAGAGCTAATTCTCCACATGGACTCACTTTTCATTTATTCAAGAAAACTTATTTATGTTCTAGGCACTGTTCCAAGCATGGCATGTCAATCATTGCGTGGGGATGGGAGTGCTGGGTGGGAGGGGTACCCCTCCCTGTGAAGGGGCAGAAGGAAGCTTTCAGGACAACGAATACTTTCATAGACTTGATGTGGTGATGGCCTCACAGGCGTATATGTATTTCAAAACTTAACCAGATTGTACCCTTTAAATATGTGCAGTTTACTGTATGTCAGGCAAACCTCAGTACAGCTGTTAAAAATTACATCCAGTTGGTTGGATTTACAAGGAATCAAATTTAGTACAGCATAAGAAATGACACTTTAACTCTCTCATTTTCCCTTCATTGATTCAGATGTACTGCCTGGAGGTAGTTCTCATGTCCAGAGGTGGTCATGCTGAGGTTGGAGTGCTGTTCATCAGTTAACTCAACCACCATTGAGCCCTGTCTACCTCTTCAGCCTTATCTACTGTGGTTCTTTTTGCTCACTATGTTCCAATCACCCAGGTCTTTGCTCTTTTCTTCACATTTGCCACATTCTTTCTTTGCCTTAAGACTTTTTCATAAGATCTGGCAGCCTAGAAAATCCTTCCCTTCTATCCATGGCTGAGTACTGGCCCCTTTTTATCTCATGGTAAATATTACTTCTTCAAGAAGGCTCCAAGAATTCAGAATAGGTTAAGGCCTTCTTTTACTAATATGCTTTTTACTCATAACTATTGCATTTGATTTACAGCTCACTTCCCATACTGAAGTTTCAGGCAGGAAGAACCTGTTGATCTTGGTGACCATATTTATCCCCAGTGTTTGTCACTTATTCTGCTCTCGATAAATATATGTCTTTGGGATGTCTGGGTGGCTCAGTTGGTTGAGCATCCTACTTTGGCTCAGGTCGTGATCTCACTGTTAGTGGGTTTGAGCCCTGCATCGGGATCTCTGCTGTCAGCGAGGAGCCTGCTTCGGATACTCTGTTTCTCTGTTCCTCCCCTGCTCATTCTCTCTCTCTCTCTCTCTCTGTCTCTCTCTTTCTGACAAAAATAAACATTAGCAAAATAGATGTCGAATGTATGGATAATTTGGAAGAGATATTTTGAGCGGCCATATGTCAGACGATAAAGAAAAAAATTCTAGAGTAAAGGAAGGTTGGTTCTGAGAATTTAGGATCCTTCCAATAAAAATAAACCTGAAAGTCTGTATTGGGATTTGAGTTACAGCTTGAATTTAATGGATTTAGGTAAACATTTCTAGGTTAATTATTACCAAAGACACCTCAAAAAGCAGAAACAAAAATCTTTCATTTCCTATTCTTAAGTGCTGTATGTTACTACAATGTACAGAAGAGAATTGAATAACCACTAAACACAAAGAATATTTTCCATGAAGCCCATTACATTACGTTAAAAAAAACCTGTTTCTCAGGAAGAACAATTTAAGCATTAATTAGGCCTCTTGTAACTTTCTTAGAGTTGATTTTTTTGAGAACAATTATAAAAAACATCATTATAATTTCCTCCACAGAATTTTTCTAAACTGTAAGTCAACTGATGCCTTACTTTACCCTCTTTGTTCACTGTGAGATTCCTTTTTTTTTTTATAGTATATGCTTATGGGTATAATTTTACTCTAGTCTTAAAGTAGTTCACCATATGACCATAAGAAATCAGATTTTCAAAAGAACATCATGTCATGTTCTTTACGTGATGTTCATGATAGTTATAAATACCTGCAGCTAAAAGGAATCTAGATACTTTGTAACATATGAATAGTAAAGCTGTATCTCATTTATCCCTGATTTGTCCAGTGAGAAGATGTAAAAGTCACTACTTTTCTTAATCCACAAAAATGGCACCATTTGTGTATGATAGATTTAGCCCCGCGGCACTGGAGTGATCAAGAGCAGACTTGGTGTATTGTATTGTATTGTAATTATTATTATTTTTTTTTTTTAATTTTTTTTTTCAGCGTTTATTTATTTTTGGGACAGAGAGAGACAGAGCATGAACGGGGGAGGGGCAGAGAGAGAGGGAGACACAGAATCGGAAACAGGCTCCAGGCTCTGAGCCATCAGCCCAGAGCCTGACGCGGGGCTCAAACTCACGGACCGCGAGATCGTGACCTGGCTGAAGTCGGACGCTTAACCGACTGCGCCACCCAGGCGCCCCTGTAATTATTTTTTTAATTGAAGTAAATTACATAGAGTTGGTGTATTTTAACTATGGAAGAACATGGTGGGCCCTATGGCTAGGAAGACTACCTCTTTCCCACCTTCTCCTACGCTCCTATTCTGTACGCTAGTGTGTCACATAGTGGGGAGCTATCTGAGTGTGTGAAGGGAACATAAAACCTCAAGAGGGAGGTGAGACTACAAGATAGCGACGGAACGTGGCTGGAATGGTCTGCTATGCTGGAAACACCGGAAGGCACCACGAAACATGGGTGTTTGAGGGGATCGCTTCAGATGTGTTTCATCATAAGGCAAACACGTCACACTACGTATATACCTTCCAAAAATGAGTAATTTAATTTCTACTTTCCGATAAGATGAAACTTATTAATTTTCCTGATGGGAATGTCTGATCATAGGAACTTTGTACATGATATTTTCTCTTAAACTTTTAATATACATATAAATTATCTGAGGATCTTATTAAAATTCATATTCTGTTTGTAGGTTTGGAATGAGACCCAAGATCCTGCATTTGTGACAAGCTCCCAAGTGGTGTTAACGCTGCTGGGCCACACTTAGAATAACAAGACTTTAAGCTCTGGTAGGGATGAATCTCAACCTGAAATGCTATCTGCAAAGTGAATTTCTTACAGATAAACAAATTTCTTGATTTTTACTATTATATTATAGCCACATTTTCATAGCCCTTTAAAGAAGCACTACTTACAATAATAAGTCACATCTGAAGAAACAAGTAATTTGCTGATTAAATAGTAATAAGACCCAAAATAAATCTTAGGACGCAAGCACACCATTGGGAACAGGTTTGGCGGTGGGATTTGATGCTTAGAAAACGGGTTTGCTCAGAAAGGTGCCTTGTTCCTGCCTAACCTTTACACTCCACTGAGGGTTTTATCTCTCAGAGGTAAATGGTTCCTTTTATAACACCAAACATGTAGCTGCTATTCCTAAATGGGTGTGTTTTATATGACATCTCTTTGTTTGTTTAACAGCTCTGATTAGGACTCTTAATAGGTGTTAACATGTTTGCTTAGTATAATTTGTAAGTTCTTTATGGTGAAGGCTGGTTTATCTTTATTCGCAGCAGGACATCAGGTGCCATTATAAGCATCATTGCCACTATTAATTATTTCCATAAGCATGAATATCCCTATAGCGAGCTGTTTTAAATAGGGGCCCCTGGATTCTCAGCAGGATCAGCCCTGTGCAAGGGCTGAGTCGGTGGCAGCTCTCTGTGCAGCAGGATTTGAGGAGTGTCATAAAGTTCCTACTGCCCTCGAACAGTCTCCTCCAGGGGTCTGACACAGTGCCCTCAATTTTTGCTTTAGGTGCAGGCACATTTAGTCAAAGCCTATCTATGCAAAGTGAGTGTACAAATACCTGCAAGTAAACAGAGGTGTGCAGAGTGCTATTCTTGTCTCATTATTGCTCATTAAGTGAGATTAAGCACATTAATTGTAAATTACCTATTTATGGTTATTTACATCTTAAAAATCTCCTTTACATACATTATTTCTTTCAATACTCAAAATAAACCTAAAAGTTAGGCAGGAGACAGGGTAATGTTTTTACATTAAAAATGGAAAGAACCTGGGAAGCCTGGGTGGCTCAGTCAGTTGAGCATCTGACTTCAGCTCAGGTCATGATCTTGAGGTTTGTGGGTTCGAGCCCCACGTCGGGCTCTGTGATGAAAGATCAGAGCCTGAGCCCGTTTGATTCTTCTCCCCTTCTCTGCCCCCACCGTTAGCACTTCTCTCAAAAAGTAAATAAACATTAATGATAATAATAATAATAATAATAATAATATAAATAAAGATGGAAAGAACTTGAATTTGAGAAACTATTTCTTAAAGTCAAATCTGGTGGTTTTATGCCATATCGAATGGTACAGCCTCGAGGCTAAGAGCAGGCACATAGAAGTCCAGAAGAATCAGATTGAAACTACATCATAGCTGTGTAAGTATGAGCAACTTTCTTCACTTCAAAATGGAGATTAAATACTTAATACATAGGAAACTAAAAGGCAACATATTTAAGTCTTAAAATAGTGGCTAGTACTTAGTAAGTTAGATTGGCACCAAAAATAAATTTCATAATATGAATAAATCATTAGAGCATGAATTAGGCAAGACATAACTTTTTAAATCTAATACTTTTTTGGCCTAATGCAGTAAAAGAAGGTCGAGTAATACTATTTTTTATTTACATTAAGTAGTGATCTCGAAAAAAGCATTTGGCCTTGTTGCAAAGATATGTCTGAGACCCAGCTCTGTATTTCAGCAGCTGTGTGACTGGGGTTAGTCATTTAGCATGTTGAGTCCTCTCCCACTTCCCGATGTGAAAAAAGAAAAAAAAAAAAAAAAAAAAGGATGATATATCTAATTTATTGTTGTGAGGATTAGATTACATCATGTAGGTGGCAGTGCTGTGGAAATTACAACGCCCAGGACAGAATGGTACTAAACCTCATTGCTATTATCAGATAATTTAAAGTTGAAAGTGCCTATGAGGTCAAAATGGAAAGTTTTGCCTGTAAAGAAAGAGTCAACTTCCTTGAAACGTAAAAGACAATTTACTAGGAAGCTAGCAAATAGAATCCAAATGGTATTAAAAGTACTAATCCCAGGTAAATAATTTGGCAGAGAAGAGTTCCACAGAATCAGAACACCGTGGGCTGGCACATGTTTTTGTGTAATAGAGCAGCAATCTTTCAAATGATATTTCAGAATGTGACAGT